GTTTACTATCTTTTCTTTAAGCACTCTCAGCTCTTCTTGAAGCTGCTCCTTGGCAGTCCTTGCCTACAGTATTGACCCTGTGACTGAAATAGTGAGAAATACTGCCATTTTTAGTATAACGAATTGCCCATAATAATTGCAATTATTGACGGTTATAATATTGGTCATTTTATTTTGAACTGCCAATCCACCAAATTTAATTCTCCACCAAATTTTCCGGCTATACAGTATATAATTCATTATACTAAAACTTTTATGTTAAGTTAACATACTTCAGGAATGATAACATCATATATATAAGTAAAACCGGCTTCACCGCGAGTTCTTATCAGAACCTTTTCTATAAATTTGTATATCTTTAGTTCCTAGAAAAACAAGAATAAAAATAAAGTAACCACAAAAAGAAGTAACCAGATTACATTGATTACAGTATAATGCCAAACATGGGGTGTATACATGTGTATATTATAGACCCTATAGGGCGCTAAGTTCTGCAAGTAATTATTGCATTACGGTATCCACCCTCACTCATGATTTGGACGGCAAGATACCGTGTAGCTACATGGGGAAACAAGGAACAAGAGGCCTTCATGGCTTCCAGAGCTTGTTTGAGTGGCAATAAATGCCAGTAACAGTGAAGAATAGAGCCCAGAATGTCTCCTGAGAAAAAGCTTCATTGCACTTGAAGCCACTTGTCCACAAAGGCTGCTTTTGGCCTCCTATCCATTGGTTTTGCCTGGTTTTGCCGTCCAGCAGGAGAATTTCGAAATTTTTTCATTAAAGAATACGGATAGAATACAGAAGATTACGAATAGTGTCTCATATACGGTATCTATAATTACTTCTAGAAGTTAGCACCCTATAGGGTCTATACAATACATGTACATGTACTTTGTATATACATGCACGTGTCAATTACATATAAAAGTATGTATGTGTACAAAATACATTTATACATGTACTGTAAAATCTGTTATATTTCAAGTGATGCGAATTTTCATATAGCAATGTGGCATAAAAATTTATTTTAAAAATCCAATTTTGAATCAAACTTGATACACAACATAATGACATGTACATGTAAATGCATCAGAACATAATAGTGAAGTCTGATGATTTTTTTCTAGCCAATTTTCAATTTTGATGAAACACTATCGTCTATGATCTTTGGAGGCAGCTTTAAAAATTAAAAAAATTGACTGTACTTAGTTTAAACATAGTACATAAGATAAAACAAGTACAGTCAAACCTGCTATTGTGGACAGTTTAAAATAAGGACACCTCTATAGTCAGGACAGGTAGTATCAGTCCCAATACAATAGTAATGTGTTCTGAAATAAGTACGTACATGTATGTATCAAAAACAGGGCTTCCCTCAGGATTTTGGCATATAGTGCTCATGCAGCTTCTGTACATACAGGTACTGTAGTACAGGGTATTTTGACAAAAATCACAACGAGAGAATTCTCCATTTATATAATTTTTTTCTAATAAATATAGATGTCCTTATGCTGTGTACAACTTTGAGCTGCTTCTGATCAAATTTAATTTTTAAATGAATTTTTAAAGCTGCTCAAAAATCAGGCTAATGATCCAAGGCTATAGCCTTTGGTCACAGGCCAAATTTCGTGAAAGATAGTTAGGAGAGAATTCTCAATTTTTATAATTTATTTTGATACATATACATGTTCTTATGCTGTGTATTAACTTTGAGCTGATTCCAACCAAATCTAATTTTTTATGATTTTTTAAAGTTGCTCAAAAATCAGGCCAATGATCCAAGGCTATAGCTTTTGGTCACAGGCCAAATTTCGTGAAAAATAGTTAGGAGAGAATTCTCGATTTTTATAATTTATTTTGATACATATACATGTTCTTATGCCGTGTATTAAGTTTGAGCTGATTACAATCAAATTTAATTTTTTAATGAATTTCTAAAGTCGCTCCAAATCACCAAATGCCTACGGTACTGTATTGTAGTGCTTGTCAGCTCATGAAGCTCATGCTGTTTAGCTCACTTTGCAGAAACCCTACCAGCAATTTTTTGATGAAATCAGCAAATGCATCCTCTTGAAGTTGACTTATTAGATTAGTGTTACAAAAAATTATCTATAACCAACCCTTGGTTAAAATCCCGAAAATAACTCTAATTTAAAAATTATTAGAATAGATTTCTTTTACCATTTTAGTACATGCGCTGGGTAATTTTCAATACATGTAGTTATAAAATACAGAATGAAAGATTCAGATGCTGAAAATTTTCATATGCTGCCAATTTATCCCAATATTGTGAAAACAAAAAATTTAACCATTCTAAATTTACATTGTAACATGTCTCATTAACCACACAAAAATGACCATCACTTGAATATACCAGATTTTACAGTACCGCATAGTGCTTTATTTTGGCAATTTTGCTGTAAAATTGTAATTGGTGGTTTTTAATTCGGTGATTCTTGGGTACACGTGCATTACTGAGCATGCGCATTAATGATTGGGGATTCTGCTTGCAAACCGCCAAACGCCAAAATAAAACTCTGCCAAATTAAAGTGTTATACGGTATTACAGTATTACTATTACCCTACACACTAACTGACTTGGCTTTCCGTTAATTTGGCAGGACCGAATCCAGTAGATGCTTTTCTCATTTTCTGTCTGTCAGACTTGGTCCCGCTGTAAGATTGATGCAACTCTGACGATGCTTTTCCTAAGCATACTTCTTCAATAAAAGACTATCAGTAAAGACATTCAGTCATTCACTATCATTAATATAGACATGTACATGCATACAGTACCTCATTCTTTTCAAAGTGCTCCATTAATCTTGAGAAACAATAAGGCGAACTATACAAATGTAGAAATAAAAAAATTGATAAACTGACATTACTACAATTTTGATGCAATTTAGAGATTTCTGAGAGAGAGCACAATTATTTTGTTCAAATGGGCTATTTTGTTCGAACTTTGTAAAAAAGCAGATATAATTAACGTTCCCAAAAACACACTCTATTTGTGAGGTAAGTTTGGCTACATGTACATGTATACATGTACAAAGTACCTGGTATCTTCAGGTTGATCATCTTCACTGTCAGACAGATCATAATTGGTATCTGATTCTTCTTCTCCTTTATCACCATCATCGTTATTATTATTCAATGACTTATCTCCATCATTATCATTATCTAATAACACAAAGTAATGGTATACCGTACAAGATGATTCATTGGCAAGGAATTAATATTGGTGATTGGCGGTTCTATGAAGAAACTTCCAATATAAAATCGGCCATTTTGTTTAAATCTGCACGAGCATGCTCAACGGCACGTGGCACAAAATGACCAATAAAAAACTTGCCAATTGACTTTTCACAGGCAAATTCACCACATATTTCTCAACAATAAATCATCTTGTACAATGCTACATGTACATGTACATGTATATGCTAAATTAAGCATCATTAGTATTGGCTTCTTAAAATATTGCCTATCTCGAAATCTTTACCATTTTAAACTATTTTTACTGGATTAAGATTTCACAAAAATTAGATCACGTGTATATAATCACATGTCACACTTCATAATACATGACACAGTCTTACTAAGTAAAAATTAACTCTTAAAAATTAAAATTAAGGAAAAAATTTCTACCACACACACTACAATACAGTAAGGCTGTGAGGTATTAAATATAATGATACCTCGGTACGGTATTGACAAAATATCCCGGTATTACTAAATATAGTAATTTATTTTAAAATACTAAAAAAATTAATTAATAATTTAATTAATTAATATTTTAGCTTTGAATGTTGGCAAGTACTGTACTTAATTTAAGTGATTTTAAAGTTAAAGTTAAAAACTAGCCATTGCACTGTGTCTGGCTCAAAATGGTGTCATAATTCTGCCACTCCTACTGAACACTTTCACATTGTCAACAACCTCGCCTAGTTGCCTTATGTATCTTTTCATGTATTTTTTATGTGTATTTGGCACTACGAAAGTACTGTAAAAGTACGGTATTGACGGTATAACGGTATTAGTAGTTGATGCTATATTAAAAACCTTTGAAACTTAAATATATACCTTCTATATCTAAAAGTAATACCTTGGTATATAGAAATATAGGTATACCTCACAGCCCTACTATGCATGGTGTTTTTTAGAATTGGTAGTCTCACATTATATTATTTTTAGTATACGGTGCACTATTATATAGAATAAAAGGAGCTGGTAACTGACTAACCTCTTTGCTAGCCCATTGAAATCCAGCAATAATACCATCCCTAATCTCATTCAAAGCCATGCATCCTTTGGTTGAGTCAATGAGTAGGTTGGGGCCACTTCCTTCTGGCCCAAATGACCATATCTTGCGTCCTGTTGCCATGTCCCAGTTATGCTTCTCTGCCAGTAAATGTGCTCTTGGTCTGAGCTCTTGAGTATGAGTGATGACTCCCTATTTTAATAAAGTAATTAAAAGACATGTTGTGTTTTAATTTTAGTTTTTAAGTTTAGGTCATAGTTCATGTGCTAATAAACATGTACATGTATAAGCCATTATGGTCTTGGTCTATGTACAGTACATGATTTTGAATCTTTTGAATCATTGCTATAAGATTGATGATTAGAAACATGGCTTGAACTTTCTGTATAGCAAATCTGCTATAACCATTCTTGATGGGTTCTTTTAGCATCAGTGGGTATTTACATAGTTAAACCATTGTTATGAAAGGAGTTTGGAATTCAAAGGCTTAATGCTTGATCTAAAATAGCTAACTTAAACTTGAACATAAATTTTAGAAGATAAAATTACTTCGTCAATATCCTTCAAAACATCACTAGAAAGTGGAGAGGCCTTCATGTAAATTCGGTTGAGTTTATTTTGAGTTTTAGCAATACAAATGACATCGCTTTCTTGAGTAACTGTTTCACAATAGGAGACTACAGGATCAGATTTCTATGTATAAATTAATATACATCATCACTACATAATAATAAACCTACTTTAATGGGAATGCAAGCGTGGTCTTCTTCCAAATCTTTGAGGCAAATTTCCAAATGTAACTCACCAGCTCCAGCTACAACAAACTGACCATTCGCTTCACTGGAGCACTGAAATAAAGCTAAAAACATTAAAACTCTTATAATCCCATTACCTGGACTAAGGGATCTGATTTTGCTAGTCGTTTCATTCCTTCAACAAGTTTGGGAAGATCCACTGGATTGGTAGCTTCAACAGCAACACGTACCACTGGACTAACACTGAACTTCATCACCTAATAACACAAACATTCAGTAGTGCTGTTTAAGTGAAAACTAAAGCATACTGTAGTAGTCTGATTGTTGGAGGTCCAACACTAAAACTAAAATACCATCATGTACTACTGGACTAACAACATCGAACTTAATCACCCATAAATGTAAACATTCAGTTAAAACTTAAGCATATTGTAGCAAATTAAGGTATCGTCCAATACTAAAACTAAAATTGCTACTGAATTAACATTAAACTTAATCACTTATAAACACAAATATTCAGCATAGTACTGTAGTGAGGCACTTTCCAATACTAAAACTAAAACTTCTAACTCTAATTCCTTAATCCTTATAACAAGTGCAGTGCTTATGATTGTAACAAAACTGTATGCATTAAAACTATCACTGCTTGTGTGTATCACACATTAGCTCTTCCTCTTCCTCCCCCCCTCTCTCTCTCTTCATCTCTCTCTTACCCTCATATTGTATGCATCCTCAGATGTTGTGATAGTACCAGTCTTGACAAGAAACTGATCAACTCCAACCAAACCAACAACATTACCACAAGGAACATCCTCAACATTCAAACTGGAACGACCCATCATCACAACAGTCCTATTATGACCATGATATTAAAATAAATTTAAAATAATTTTTTATACCTTTGAATAGACTTGACCACATGATCAGACTGATTTCGTGGTGTGTAGTTGGGCCCTAATATGCGAACCTTTTGGCCTGTACCAATCACTCCACTAAAAACACGTCCAAAAGCAAAAAACCGTCCCTTGTCAGAACTGGGCACCATCTTACTAACGTACATCATCAATGGAGCCTGTTTGATAAATTCAAACTCAACATACATGTACTATAAAACCATGGTTTTGAGGTATGTATTAGCAACCTAAGACCTAAGCCCCAAAATGTCTACCAGAGGCAAAGCTGAGGGCAGAGATTGAGGGACAAAGGTCTTACATTATACTGATACCCACCTCAAAACCTTATATAAAAACATGCTAAATGAACATGGCATACTGTAACTATATTACATAGAGATGTCCTGATAATCAGATCGGCATATCAGATATTGGCCCGTTTTTTATAGTATCAGTTATTCGTTTCTTTGCATGCATCTTGCAGATATAGGAACACATGGCCATATGCATGAGAATAAAGGGTTAATCAATTAATTGTAAGACAATTATGTGATACAATTAATGTCAAAATGATTCTATAACTGCGACTACTTGAAAATCAGTCAAGATTGAAGACACTAAATTGGGAAGTGTATAAATCACGTTTTACATGCATAAACCTGTGCCTAAAAGGTAGAAAGGAAAATATCAGATCGGTATTGGTATCGGCCAGTAATGGCTATGTTAATATCGGCATATTGGAATATCGGCTAAAACCCATATCGGTACATCTCTAATATTACATATATCAATAATGGCTATTATTTACTTCAGGGTTACAGTTGGCAATTCCTTGAGCACAAATGTCATCATGAGGTCCTTCATACAATAATTCCATCCTGTACTTTTGTGCTGTGACTGGTGATGGTAGGTGGATGGTGATCATTTGAAGTAAAGTGTCACCAGCAGACAACCACTTAGGCATAACAGCTTTAAGGAGAGGTTTTCCTTTCAACTCCTGTAAAATAAACATAAATGATCGATTATTTTTTAAGGTAAAAAGAAACATGATCATCATTACAGTAAGATTATTTTGTAAGACACTGTAAACCATTAATAATTACTATCCATTAATTTTAACTGTTTTAACCATTAGCCTAATTTAATGGACATAAATATCATTGTAAATGTGCAATTGGTTACTTTAAGAAGTTGTAAAAATTCTTAAAACTAATGGACGTTAATATACCCATCACTGCGAAAACATTAAACATAAAGGTTGAATTATGTGGGTTTACAGAAACTAAGCAAGTAGGTATGTACATGTACATACCTTTTCTTCTGGAGTTAGCTTAATTTGAAGCTTATCTAACAGCTTTTGCACCTCTTCATCTTTGAAATTCATAATCGCATCAAAAACCTAAAAAAATAATACAAGTGATGAAGATTGCTACTATACAAATGTATCTATAATAACCTTATAAATAGGATCAAGTATGAACTGACAAAAGCCTCTGACGTATCCAGGGCCAGCACTCTTGCTCCATTTCTTTTCAGTGGATGAGTAGAAGTTTTCGCCCCACAATCGCTTCATAAGCTTCACAGGCTCAATGGAAAACTTGACTGAATACATCTCAGCAAATTGTTTAAGAGTGAAGGCCCAGCCATGCAAACCGGAGCCAAATCCAACAGTGCCTTCATTTGGGCTAACCTAAAATAAACAAATATTATGTTGTTAAATAAAAATGAGATAAGCTAACCATTATATTTCCCATTGGGCCATCTTCATCGCTATGAGTTGCAATGATGACATTGACTGATTCCACAATTCGCTGGAAGGTCATATAAAGGTCCTCCTGATCTAGCTTCAGCTCAAGGAGTGCTCGGTCCATCTTATTCATAAACAAAACAGGCTTGATCCTCTCAGCTATGGCTTGACGTAAAACTGTCTCAGTTTGGACACAGACGCCTAAATCAACCATTATAGTAAAAACTGAAGTTGGGTACATTATGTACATGTAGCAGTTTAATACTGACACAGATAAGCATGAAGACACATTAAGCAAGGCTTAAGTCTGACGAAATGGTCAAAAAAGTGCGTGTGCGATCTAACTAAAGTTGACACAAAATTGGTCAAAATGGGCTTGTTTGCATTGCCATTTGTGGCAAATGTAAACCAGGCTTTATATACAATGTAAGTAAAAGCAGACACATACCACTTATGCAATCCACCACAACCAATGCTCCATCAGTGACACGAAGAGCTGCAGTTACCTCAGAAGAGAAATCAACATGACCTGGCGAGTCAATGAGATTTATGAGGAAACCATTCCCGTCCTTTTCCTGAGTGATGTGGGACATATCCTTATCTTGCAACTCGTAATACAAAGAGATAGCACTAGAGATATACATTGAATAGAGTTAAAATAATCATAGAATTGCTATAGCATAGTCTTACGTTGATTTGATTGTTATGCCACGCTTCCGTTCTTCATCCTCAGTATCAGTGTATCGTTCACCAATTTTACTACCAGCAATGATCCCAGCCTTGAGGACCAGGGAATCAGTGAGTGTGGTTTTCCCATGATCAACGTGAGCTATCACAGACATGTTGCGGACATTGGTCCGCTTGTCCATGATAGAACGGACTTGCTCCACTGTAAAACGCACCTAAAGAATCAAGTAGTAGCTGATTAGTAAGCCTGCTCTGGATCTTACCATTGTATTTGCACTAAATTTATAATCTGATTTGTAGTTACTCCTGTGTAGTTACCAAGTTAAAGCGGTCCTTTGTCAAAGGCTATTCAATCACATCTCTAACTACAAGAAATGATGGTGGTAGCAGAGGTGAACATCGCTTTATAGCCTTAAAGAGAGATGTCACAGAATTGTGCAATCTTTTTATTTCCAAGCCATGGTGCAACAATTTAACAGTTTACACGCCCACAAACTAACACGCCCTCCTCCTATTTTTAATAAAAATCATAACACAATAAAAGGTACTATAAGCAGCGACCAGCAACCAGCAACAAGAAATAAAACTATAGGTGGGTAGCTATAATTAATAATAATAGTCTTGTGTATGTATAACAGCTATGAAGTTTCTAGTTTCGTCCAAGCATCAGATAGTGAACAATTTTCTACTGAAGCTATAGCTCTTACCATTACCTGTATAACAAAAATGAATTTAATATCACAGCACATATTAATATTCATTGAGAACAATTAGCATTATTTCAATGACAGGTTCTATTATTTCGAAAGAACACAAAGTTTCTGAAAAATATAAACAATCACCTCGCAATGAAAAGTATCATTATCATGGGCGTAGCCAGGGGGGGCAAGGGGGGCAATTGCCCCCCCTTTTTTAAAACTCAACATTTTAAAATAATCAAATAATAAGCTGCTTTTGAAAGGAAAAGCTGTTCTACAACTTACATATGAAAGGAAAAGGCCAAAGCAGTCTTTCTATGATGCCATTATAAGGCTGAAAAGGTATTCAACGTTGCCAATGATCGGTCAAGAAGTCCGCCATGTTGAAAAATAGGTGTAACCACGCCTCCAAAAGGGCGTGGTTTCGCAAAATTTCACGGCGCGCTTCGCGCGCCGCACAGCTTGCCCCCCCTTTCCAAAAATCCTGGCTACGCTACTGATTATACCACAGTCTAAATTTTATCAATAGCAATGCTGTTTTTGGTTCATGATTTACATTTTAGCTTTAGTTATGGTACTTCAGAACAAAATCAATTTCTGACAAATAAATAAATTAACTCGTAGGTGTGACTAGTATTAGTTGTTAATTCAAATTTAGTTATACATGTAGTTCTTCAGAAAAGTCATTTTAGTTATGATTCTAGTTCGTTTGACGTCAAATAAAAGAATTATAGTTTAGTTAAATAAAATCGAAATTTTGCTGTACTAAAATAGATTTTGTTGCAGCTATAGTTAACCAATACAACACTGCTCAATAGCAAACAATAAGTGTAAAATAATCACTCAAATGTGATTCTTTCAATTGAACACAAAAAAAGCATTTTATATAGCATGTGGGTATGCAGGGCCACCAATAGGCTACGTGGGGCCAAGGGCAAAAACTTGATAGGGCCCCTACTAATACGAATGGCCCCTCCCTTATTCATTAACAGAGTGGCCCACAAGAGTTAACTTATAAGAGTTGTCATGATTCATTGCTCTTTTTCTGTAAAAACTATACATACTTTACTATTGACCAGGGGCCTGGGGGGCCCCCTTTGATTGGGGGCCTGGGGCAAAATGCCCCACCTGTCCCTCTATTGGTATCCCTGTGGGTATGGAAGCATCATGCACAGAAATACAAGTACACACTACAAACAGTAATTCATTATACCAAACACTTAATTTAACATACTTCAGGAATGATGACATCATATATATAAGTAAAACCGGCTTCACCGCGAGTTCTTATCAGAACCTTTTCTATAAATTTGTATATCTTTAGTTCCTAGAAAAACAAGAATAAAAATAAAGTAACCACAAAAAGAAGTAACCAGATTACATTGATTACAGTATAATGCCAAACATGGGGTGTATACATGTGTATATTATACAATACATGTACATGTACTTTGTATATACATGCACGTGTCAATTAATATACATTAATATATATACATGTACATGCACGTGTTAAAAGTATGCATGTGTACGAAATACATTTATACATGTACTGTAAAATCTGTTATATTTCAAGTGATGGGATTTTCGTATAGCAATGTGGCATAAAAATTTATAAAAAATCAAATTTTGAATCAAACTTGATACACAACATCATGACATGTACATGTAAATGCATCAGAACATAATAGTGAAGTCTGATGATTTTTTTCTAGCCAATTTTCAATTTTGATGAAACACTATCGTCTATGATCTTTGGAGGCAGCTCCAAAAATTAAAAAAATTGACTGTACTTAGTTTAAACATAATACATAAGATAAAACAAGTACAGTCAAACCTGCTATTGTGGACAGTTTAAAATAAGGACACCTCTATAGTCAGGACAGGTAGTATCAGTCCCAATACAATAGTAATGTGTTCTGAAATAAGTACGTACATGTATGTATCAAAAACAGGGCTTCCCACAGGATTTTGGCATATAGTGCTCATGTAGTACAGGGTATTTCGACAAAAATCACAACGAGAGAATTCTCCATTTATATAATTTTTTTCTAATAAATATAGATGTCCTTATGCTGTGTACAACTTTGAGCTGCTTCTGATCAAATTTAATTTTTAAATGAATTTTTAAAGCTGCTCAAAAATCAGGCTAATGATCCAAGGCTATAGCCTTTGGTCACAGGCCAAATTTCGTGAAAAATAGTTAGGAGAGAATTCTCAATTTTTATAATTTATTTTGATACATATACATGTTCTTATGCTGTGTATTAACTTTGAGCTGATTCCAACCAAATCTAATTTTTTATGATTTTTTAAAGTTGCTCAAAAATCAGGCCAATGATCCAAGGCTATAGCTTTTGGTCACAGGCCGAATTTCATGAAAAATAGTTAGGAGAGAATTCTCAATTTTTATAATTTATTTTGATACATATCATGTTCTTATGTTGTGTATTAACTTTGAGCTGATTCCGACCAAATTTAATTTTTTTATGAATTTTTAAAGTTGCTCAAAAATCAGGCCAATGATCCAAGGCTATAGGTCACAGGCCGAATTTTATGAAAAATAGTTAGGAGAGAATTCTCTATTTTTATAATTTATTTTGATACATATACATGTTCTTATGCTGTGTATTAACTTTGAGCTAATTCTGACCAAATTAAATTTTTTTATGAATTTTTAAAGTTGCTCAAAAATCAGGCCAATGATCCAAGGCTATAGGTCACAGGCCAAATTTCGTGAAAAATAGTTAGGAGAGAATTCTCGATTTTTATAATTTATTTTGATACATATACATGTTCTTATGCCGTGTATTAAGTTTGAGCTGATTACAATCAAATTTAAT